TCTTCAAGCCAATGGCAACGACTTGGTCAAAACGACATTCCGGCCTCACTTCGGCTGAGGGTAGCGGTACGTCAAAACCGAGGACAAGGAATGAGAGGGGGAACTTACCGGCAGTTTCACCCCACAGTTTTAGTAAGCTTTTGTTTCACTTGAACCCACAGCCCCTTCGGGTGGCTACGCCTCGCAGCGTGCAGACGAAAAATTCACCTGGCTCAAGGTCTCGGCTCAACCCCGGTGGGGTGCACAGGTAGCAGAGCGAGTAGCTGTGAACCTGGGTTTCGGGCCTCAACTGAAGGTACTGGACCCCCTTTGTTTTGGCCTATTCGCCCGAGCCATATCGTGTCAGAGCTTTTACCCGGCCGTGTGGCTGTGGTTCCGCATTGCACCCTTCCTTGAGCTACGGAGCAAACCCCTCCAGCTGGGAGGTGGGCGCCACATCCCCTCCAGGTGGGAGGTGGGCATCACTTCCCCTCCAGCTGGGAGGCGTGAGTGCTCAGACCTTCAGTGCTGTCGTGGCCGCCAGCCTTAGTTTGCCATAGTGGTGCCTTGTTTTCTTGGTTTTACTTGACTTGACAATTTGCTTGAATTGCACCTAGTTTTGGCTGGTCTATCGTGCGGAAGCAGCTCTCCTGAAGGCGAACGGGCTGAGTTGTGACTAGCCGCGCCGATCAGATTAGTCATACTACAGTTGCCGCTTCACAGCATTTTTGCAGGAAGGTTCGTCACGTCCTGGACGCTGTTGTGCCACTTCTATCCAGACCCCACCTTCCTCGGCTCTAGGCTGAGGTGTAACTGCCCCGCCCTTGAGGCTGTGGTTTGCACATCAGAAGTGGCCTTCTCAGGGCCTAGCTGGCAATTTGAGGTATCGGCCGAAATCTGGCACAGCACTCCTCCCAGGCAGGCCTACCCATGTGGGGTGTCGTGAGGTCGGCCCACCTGGGCTCTCATGGTCTTCGCTTCAGTGATTGGGGGTTCCTTGCGAGGCTTGTTGGCCCTGGTCCCATCCAATAGTCTCTGAAGGGACCGTGGGGGTTGTGATGCATCCTAAACCCAGGCCTCGCAAATTGTGTTGAGGCTGGCTTTTCCCCCAACCATGCAGATGCACCCAAGCAAGTGCCAACAGTGTGTCCGGCACGTAGGGAGCTGTGTGGTTCCTTGCTCGCCATTGGATTTTCGCCTTAATTAGATGGTTGCGGCGCGTGTCGTTCTCGGCCAGTTGCCCATGTGCGGAGGACGTTAAGCTTTTTGGTTAGGATGCGTTTGGTAATGGCCTCACTTGAGATGAGGCAGTGGCTTTAGGCCCTCTGTAGGGTTGTCTGGGGCTTCCCTGCAGGCCTATGCGCCGGCGGCAGAGAGTAGTCCTTTTCTCAGACCTTGTGACTGCTCCTGCCGCTGGTGCCCTGGGTTTAGGGCTGGTTTTAGGGTAGGTACTTGGCAGTGCTGTCTGCTTGCTGACGGTGGATGCAGCCGGCTGAGTCACTTTCCCTCCTTGCCTGGACTGCCTGCCTTCGCCCTACCACCAGGTATGGGATAAGCGCACCATGGGGCTTTCCAGGCAGCTCAGGACCTGTATCTCGTCTCCTCACTGGGCATTAATTGCAGGCTCGCGAGGTGCAGGCCAATAGTCACTCCTTCTTCTTCGCTGCGCGAGATTGCAAGGGTGATGAGCTTTTTTTGGCTTGTTGTCCGGATTCTGTCCCTTTTGTTCCGGTGTTTTCTCTTGGGGTTTAGGGTGTAGCGCAGAGGCAAAAAATGCAACATACTGTTGCTGGCATAGGCTTTTGCCGAGGTTTTCTGCCCTGAATCCCTTTTTAGCACTTTTCGAAAAAGTTGGCCTGCTGGCACCAAAGATCATACGGGTCGGCGTGCCGTGGGGCCCAGAGTCCTGATTTGGCCCTTCCCTTGAAACAGTCTGGGGTTTTACAGGGGCAGTGGGCTCCCTTCCCTTGCTTGCAGCAGCCAGGGAAGGTCCCTTTACTGTGTGGGTCCATTTGGTTCGTTTTGGCCTTTTCCCAGTGAGCAGTCAGCAGGTCCCTGGGAGCAGTCTTCGGGGTTTCGAAATCTTTCTTGCAGAAAGTCTAGCAGGGCGTTGTTCCCTGCGCCTGCACGTCGTTAGTTGAAGGGAAAGCGTCGCTCCCTGCGCCTGGTTGAGGGGAGTGCGTGGGCCCCGCGCTAAAGATACCAAATTGAGGGGCTGCTGCTTTGTGTAAGGTGAGGTAGAAGACCCCCTTGGGCTGTTTGGGCGTGAGGCTAGGAAGTTCGTTGGCTGTGTCAACCCAGGCCTGAAGGCTGTGGCATCAGTGCATGACAGTCGCTTGTGCTCCTGTGCGGGTGCTGTTATGCCATGGATTCCCAGCCTCGGGGCTGCGGTTTCGAGAATTCCTTCCTCTGATGAGATGGACACAGACTAGCTGCTGGGAGCAGGTCTTTTGCTTGGGCTATGGTCAGTACGATGAGAGGAGTAGGAAAAGCGAAGTGCTTTGTACAGCTGGCGACTCGGACGAGTGAAAGCCACAGTCCTCCATCTGACCTGTTCTACTAGCGGTCAGAGCCTCTTAACTGTGTCATAGGCGCCTGTAGGTAGTAGTGGGTGCACCACACTCCCAGCCTTGAGCTGAGTTTTGCCGTAGCAGGTTGGCCGACCAGCCCGAGAGACTATGTCTCGCCCCCTAGGGGCTCCGGGTGAATTCATTTGCATGATGGACGCCCACTGGGTAACGCTTTCGCGCTTGCTGAAGAAAAATTCACCTGTAGTGTTTGCCCAGTTGGTGCCATGTGGTGTTTGACTGTACAGAGAGAAGCATGAGAGTTTTTCTGCTGCATGACTTGGCATGAGCATGTTTGGTTTTGCCCAAAGTCCCTAAAGCATGTTTGGGTTGACTGCGACACATGTCTTGTCTTGTTGGCATGGCCAAGGATGAGTTTTGAAGCACTTGGAGCTGCGTGAGAGCAGTAGTGAAGAAGTGCGTGTCAGAACTCTGAGGTTCTGTCTTGTTGCAACTCACTCCGTGTCCCCGCCACTTCGTTCGTTGCCGTTGGACGTGTAGGATGGGAGTAGGAGTGCAGAGTGGACTCTGAAGCTTCGCTGTTTTGCTGTTCGGAAGTGACCTGAAGTCCCCGAGGTGTAGACCAAAGCAGTTGCATTGCTCTTTTGCTTTACCTCCTTTGTAGAACAAAGTTGAGATGGAATTCGTAGCTTTTTGGAGCCCTTAGCTCTTGGAGAGAGCTTGCTGCAAGAACTGAAGCTTGCTGAACACTTTGGTGTTTGGCTCAAGTGCAAAGTGGAAAAGAGACTGCTGCGCGAGCTCTGCTTTTCACAAAAACACTCTTCTTTTCTGCAGGCTTCGAAGAACAACAAGAAATTGAAGAAGGTGGAATTTAAAACAGAGGAGGAATTAGGCTTTTAAGAAGAACATGATAAGATCCAAAAAACAAAAACAAGATTTGGAAAGAAGAGTGGAATTGGACTTTCCTTCTTTCCTTAATTTCTTGTTCTTCAAAAACCTGCAAAACAAGAATTATTCCAATTTCTTCTTTTCTGTTCCAAATTCCACTTACTTAAAGAACAACAAGAAACTGGGAACGTGAAATTTAGAATTTGGAGCTACAAAGCGATGTTTTCAAAAGCTTCAAATGTCTTTGTTCTCTTTAAAGCCTTTGAAGCCTTCCAAAACCCCTTTCGTTCTGCTCATAAGAAGAAATCAAAAGGTTAAAGGCTTCAAAGGAAGGATGAAGCCCCCTTTGTTCTTTTAAATCCCTCTTTCCTTTATCCTTGCCTTTAAAGCCTTTGAAGCTTCCTTCGTTCTTTTAAAGCCTGTTTCTTTGTTTCTTTACAAACCCCCCTTTCGTCTTGCTTTCAAAGTTCCTTGTCTTTACCATTAAAGCCTTTCCGTTCGTTCTTGCCTTCAAAGCCTTTAAAGCCTCTTTGCTTTTTGTTATTGAAGCCTTTAAACCTTTTGAAAACCATTGCTTCTGCAATTTCGAATCTTATCTTAAAAGGCTAAAGAGAAACCCCCTTTTTGTCTAGAAAGAAGAGACTTCTTCTAAATTCCACTCCGCCAAATCTTGTTTTCTGTTTTTTTTTCTGGCCAATTCTAATAACAGAACATGCGTTTCAGACCTTGCGGAGCAGTCGAAGGTGTGTAATCGTGCCGGCGGGTTTGAGGCGGGGACTTGTGGAATGCTTGGGCGGAAATTGGATTCGGATGGCGACAGCCAGCGGATAAGACAAGGACGTTTTTGTTGTGGCGTCTCATGATGACCTGCTAATCCGGACCCTGAAGTCTTTATCTGTCTTGCCAGCAGGGATCCCAATTTCTTGCAACTCGGAGGATCTCTGCAGAAAGGCTGGTCTTGCCAACGCAAAAAACAAGTTTTGGTGGTGACCTCCTCAGCTGCTGTCACTTGATCGACATCGACACGGTTAGAGTTGAGGGTTGAGTGTTGAGTGTTGAAGGATCCATGTACCTCTATAGTATATACTTGGGCCTTGAAGGGGTTCCTATGTAGTAGCTTTAGGGCCCAAGTATATACTATAAAGGTACACGGATCCTTTGGGTTTGAAGCCCGCGAAGCCCCTAACTTCCGCGATCCAGGAAACGGCTGCAGCTTCAGAAGTGAATGCTCCTGCTCCGGAAACTGCGCAGGCATGGGTCTCATACAAACCGGGCAGGACAGCGATTGACTCTGCTTCAGGTTTGGGTGCGCCCTTCCATGATTGCGAATGTTGTCGCCGCCGTTGACGACAAGCAAGAGACTGATTGGATGGTGCGGTGCGTACTCCAGCGCGAAGCTGCTTCGCAGGACGTTGCTTCCCACTCGGCCAACGAGTCATGAGTCATAACCTGAGCAAAGCATGTTTCGCAGGAACGTGGTGTTGCCGTGTTCCTTGAGAAGCGTGACCTGTCGTCAGCGTGGTCACAGATGGAGCCGGCAATGGGGTCAGGATCCCATTTCGAGTCAGCGCCCTGCGTGTTGCTTTGATGTATGAAGTTGAGGACATGGTGATCGATCAGCTTGACAAGCTCATGGGAGTCAAAGCAGAGGTTCAAGTTCCATGGCCGTTTTTAGTTTGAGTCTGCAAAGGAAGCGACGCAGGTTTCTGAAAACGATATGCGCGCCATCGTTCGCGCTGTGCGCAAGCAGTCAAAAAAGATGGCCAAGGACATGTTGCTTTGCGCATTTTGTTGCTTTGAAGTGGCTTCACAAGCAGGACGTGTGTGGCAAAGTCTTGGACGCACTTCAAGGATTGCAGCGGGCCTACTGTCCGCCTAGCTTTTCCTCAAAAACACCCAGACCGTTTTCCGTGATTGTCACCCAGGCCGTTTTCCCCGATTGTCGAAAAGATGCATGCCGTCAGGTTGGGTTGGAGTCGTGGTGCCAGTGTCTTGTTGGAAGTAGCTTTCTTTTGACAGGCGCCAAGAAATGTGGCAAGTTTTCGAGGAAGTGATGGCGAGGCTGGGTGTCGCTGGCGGCCGAGAGATGGAGACACTTTTCAACGTCATGGATCAGGCGCTGTGTGTTCTGCCAAGAGCTGTAGTTCTTGTCTCTTGATCTGCAACACGTGCTAGGCCGTGAGATGCACATCGTCATCGCTGGCTGCGTTTGCACAAGTGAAGAAGGACTTGTGCCATAATAAACCGGCATGTACATTGATGTTGTTGTTGCGCATCCCGGACATTGGGGGCAGACTGGCGGGCGTATTGGAATCCGAGACTTGCTCTCAGCACAATTGATGGCCCATACGTCACTGTCTACATGACTGTTCGCTCTCAGGTCTGGCATCACGATGCAGATGCTTTGCAGGATGCACGAACTGAGGCTTTGTCTCCGTCGCAGAATGCTGGCATGTTTCCTGAGAGTTCTTCAGGGATGCCTATCGCTTCGAAAATTTTCGCGAGACGGTTTTGACATCACGTGGCGGGCTTACATCTGGCCCGAAGGTGTCGTGTTTGTCCATATTCAGCAACAAGGAACCACAACATGAGCCCGGATGAGCTGCGCTTGGTCTACCGCCTCGTGAACCAGGCGGGTTGAGGTTGAGGTTCACTTGTCCTCAGTTTATCTGGCTCAGGATGAATTCAGATGAGGCAAAGCACAATGGCAGAAACCACAGCGGCTCTGTCAGGCTCTGAGGTTGTCGCGCATTTTACCGGTTGTCGCGTGACCTTGGCACGTTCATGGAATCTGAGGGACTGCTTGTGTGGATGGTTTGATGGGAAGCCCAAAGTCTCGCAGTTTGTGGGCCGCAAGCGGAAGTTTGAGGTGGACCTCACGGGGCCAAAGAAGGTCTGTCAGATTTGCCGAACTGACTCGACAACGACGGAGTGGGCGAGACGTAAAGGCAGCAGAAAGGACCAGCGCAGTCGACCAGAGGGCTCGCGTTGTTTGTCGTGTCACAAGATGGCTGCTTGCAAGCATTTGTTGCCGTGCACAGCAAAGTACCGTTCATGCCAGCTCGGCCCTTCCAAGCGTCACATAAGGTTGAGGTGTTGGTGGAGCAGCGCTTTTTCGGCAAGGACATCGCATCAGAAAAGTTGGTTTGGAGCTCGAAGAAGCTGCGAACCCACGCGGCCCGTCACCGGACGGCATGGCTGGCGCACAGTGACGCCGAGCGTTTCAGACAACACCTGCAGACAGCGGCGGGGGTTTCAAGTTCAACGTCCCACATCGAACAAGTCAAGTGCACTGTCTCTGGTCCTGCGTGGGACCTCGTGCCTCGTGCCGCTTGTGCCTTGGCGTGCCATTGCTTGTCCCACTTTCTTCCAAGTCAGCGTCCCAAAAAATCTCTTTGAAGATGGCTTGCGGTCGCAATCAAGGAGAGATTCCCAAATGCGAAGAAGGACATCGACATCGTCGTCTACAAAGGCTACAAGTATGTGAAGGTGCCGGCCACCACCCTGTTTCCTCCGGCAGGGTGCCTGCGGCAACAGCAGGTGTCAGAAGAGATTTTCGGACAGCAAAGGTGCGCAGGCGGAGAAGCGGCAGCGGACCTCTTTCGAAATTGCTACAACTCGGATAGTGACTTGATGGAGCCGCTGCGCGAGTGAGCTGGCTTACCGTGGTGGTTTCGTGTGATGGCAGAAGCCTTTCCGAAGCCTAAACCCACAAATCTTTAATTAGCCTTTCCGCAGCCTAAACCCGCAAGTCTTTAGTTTGCATCGACGATGACTGGACTGTCAAAGTCCGACCAGTGACCAGAGGCCTTGACAAGAAACGCGAGGTTTTGTCATCCCCCCCACCAGCCGTGTTGTGGTGGTTTGCTTCCTAACCTAACAAAAGCATTGACCGTCAGCTGGTTGGCGACGGAATTAATGAGGCATGGATGTTTTGGCATTGAGAAAGGGTGGAAAGGGTGTTAGGGTTGTATCCCCCCACCCGCGTGGCGTCCCCCACCACTCACTTCCCCCGCCAAGCCGCGTCGTATCCCCCGCCAGCCGCATCGCATCCCCCGCCAGCCGCGTCGTATCCCCCGCCAGCCGCGTCGTATCCCCCGCCAGCTGCGTCGTATCTCCCCCATGGGCGTGGCATCCCCCCCAACCTGCGTGGCATCCCCGGCCAGGTGCGTGGTATCCCCCCCAACCTGCGTGGTATCCCCGCCAGCCGCGTCGTATCCCCCGCCAGCCGCGTCGTATCCCCCGCCAGCCGCGTCGTATCCCCCGCCAGCCACGTCGTATCTCCCCCAGCGTGGCATCCCCCCCAACCCGCGTGGCATCCCCGGCCAGGTGCGTGGTATCCCCCCCAACCTGCGCCATATCCCCCGCCAGGCGCGTGGCATCCCCCCCAACCGCGAGGTATCCCCCACAACCCGTGTGGTATCCCTGTCCAGCCTGTCCAGCCGCGTTTAGGGGCTTCGGGGTTTAGGGTTTAGGGTTTCGGGTTTAGGGTACGCAAAGCCCGAGACAAGCCCCAGAGATTACGGTATCCTCACCCCCGGTCCTCACCACCCTCCTCACCCACAGTCCTCACCATCCGCGCCGGTCGTCGCCTCGTCGTCGTCGCCCCCCCGCTTCTATCCTCACCGGTATCCTCACCAGTATCCTCACCCCCGGTCCTCACCACCCGCGGTCCTCACCACCCACGGTCCCCATCACCAGCACCGGTCGTCGCCTCGTCGTCGTCGCCCCCCGGCTTCTATCCTCACCCGGTATCCTCACCTGGCATCCTCACCGCTCCTGTCGCCATAAGAGCCCTGGTCCTCATATCATCCTGGTATCCTTCCACGCGGCTCCGGGGGTAACGTTGGGGTAATGGGGCTCGGGGGGGAACGTTTTGGGTAACATTGGGGTAACGCGGCGTTTGGGGTAACATTTTGCGGTAACGCGGCTCTGGAACATCTGGGGGTAACATTGGGGTAACGCCGGCTCAGGGGTAACATTTTGGGGTAACGCCGGCTCAGGGGTAACATTGGGGTAACGCGGGGTCTGGGGTAACATTGGGGTAATGCCGGCTCAGGGGTAACATTGGGGTAACGCGGGCTCTGGGAAAAATATTTGGGGTAACATTGGGGTAACGCGGGCTCAGGGGTAACATTGGGGTAACGCGGCTCTGGGGGGAACATTCGGGGTAACATTGGGGTAACGCCGGCTCAGGGGACGTTTGGGGTAACATTGGGGTAACGCGGCTCTGGCTTTGAGCCCCAGGTTAGAGGGCAGTGAAGGGCCTCTAATCTCTGGGACTTCTCTCGGGCTTTGCGTCCCAGGCTTTAGAAGGGAGTGAAGGGCTTCTAATCTTTGGGGCTCTTTCGGGCTTTGAGTCCCAGGTTAGAGGGCAATGAAGGGCGCAAACACCCCGAAGTGACCGCCGATGTGGTGCGAGTCGACGATGCCGTTTGTTGGGCATCTTCATTACCGTGGCCCATTGCACCCACACCCCTACCCCCGAAACGTTTAGGGTTTAGGGTTTGGGGTTTAGGGTAAGCAGCTATTGCAGAGCCGAGGTTTTTCGGAGACCACGGGTGAGGAAACAGTAGCCACAAACTGCAGCCACAAACAGTAGCCACAAACTGTAGCCACAAACTGTAGCCACAAACTGTAGTCACAAAATGTAGCCACAAACTGTAGCCACAAACTGTAGCCACAAACAGTAGCCACAAACTGTAGCCACAAAATGTAGCCGCAAACTGTAGCCTTTCTCTTATGCTGCGGTCTCTAGACCCCACCAGAGATTGTCGTACTCGGAGCTGATTCAAAATCGAAAGGGTGTTGAGCGTACGGACTCGACCCAAAACTGAAGAATCGACAGGACTGAGAAGCCTAGGACGCAACGATCTTCGGCCATTTGGCCGCGAAAATTTGGGAGTGAGAAACTCCAACAGCATGCAGTTCTGAGACGGGAGAGTCCGCGGGCTCACGGAAGCCGAAGGCTGGAGCCCCGCGGACTCTCCCGTCTCAGAACTGCATGCTGTTGGAGTTTCTCACTCCCAAATTTTCGCGGCCAAATGGCCGAAGATCGTTGCGTCCTAGGCTTCTCAGTCCTGTCGATTCTTCAGTTTTGGGTCGAGTCCGTACGCTCAACACCCTTTCGATTTTGAATCAGCTCCGAGTACGACAATCTCTGGTGGGGGCTAGAGACCGCAGCATAAGAGAGAGGTCAGGTCGTTGAAGCGTGGAGATGCAATGCAGGGTGTTTTGACTTTGTGCTGCGCTCCTTGACAGTCCCACCATGTGGCGCCATGACCGAGGCCCGGAGTTCTCCAACGCCTTGTTTGAGGGCTTTCGGTAATGTCGGTGCTCCTAGGTATCCAAAAGCCCATTCCGCTGGCTCATAGGCCGATGTCTGTGGGTGTGGGTGAAACGGTGCATCGTACTGCGAACCTGCTGGTGAGTCTGATGCTCGATGAGGGTCTTGCCCCTTGTCCACTACATGATGATGTGTACCCCGATCCTTGAGTCAGGCCTTGTCCCAGGGATCTGGGCCGTGCTTGGTCGCTGCGTGATCATGCAGAGCGGGAGCTGACCCCATTTCGAGCTTCTTGCCGTCTCCCAGTGGACGACTGGGCGCAGGAAGTTTTCAAGAGGTTCCAGGCCTTGGAGACATCCTTTGCGCGTTACTTGGCAATGATTGAGGAGAAACGGGCCGAATTACATGATCGTGACCATGTGCGACGAGGTGCATCAAAGTTGTCTGGTGCCAGAAGAGGAAACAAATCGAACAATGGCAGCAATGTCCGACGTGCCCGACGAGAAGTCCCAGGCATCGACCTCACGAATCCGTTTGTGCTTGCCACTATCTGACTCAAGAATCGGACAGGAAAAGCTCAAGAACGAACCTTTTCAAAAATGATCGTGCCAAAACCAACGTGCGGCATCCTTCGTGGTGGAAGCAGCAGAGTTGGCAAGAGATTGTAATCATGGGGAGGTTCAGTGAAGTCTGTGCATTGATCTGAAAGGATTTGTGTTGACATGTTTCCAAAATTTGGTACAGTTGCGTGATTGTTGTCGGGGCAGCAGTGCTTGTTTTCATAAAAATATGTTTGATGCATGTCCAATTTTCAAGCTGATTGTTTTTTACAAGCAGCGTTGGGAGTTTGGCAGCTTGTTCTGCGTATTGCAGTTGAGTTTTTCATCAGCCATGATTGCGTTGTTGCATTGTTACATGTTGCATGAGACACCCGTGTTGCATGCAAACTTGAGCCAGTTATGTCATTGACATGGAAGGGTTGCCCGTAGCACATTCCACGCAAGTCGTCACAATGGCAACTCCTACACTGGACGGCTTTGGCGTCCTCGGGGGCATTGCCGGAAGCGGCCGGACGCTTTACTTAAGCGTGTGCTTGCCGTCATGTGAGCAATTTGCAGGATCGGGGACTGTGCCGAGTCTCCCAGTGACGCCCGGGGGCTTCCCAGCCATGTTCTGAGTGTCACACAGAATTTGCCGTCACAAATGACGTGGTAGCTGACGTGTCTGAGGCCTTATTGGACGCGGCAAGGCAGCAAACCGAACTTGTGTTTTGGATTGTGAGGACATCTGTTGACTCTTGGCTGGTTGTCTGAGCAAGGAGTTGTGAGTGTACGAAGCAGCTTGTGCAGGACCGTGCAAGAACATGAAGGTCGTATTTCTTCACTGTGTTGGCCTCGCATTTGCATGAGTAAGCAAATGACACAAAGATTGGACTTCAACGGCCGAGGTCGCGGCAACTTGCAGACCAGCTGAAGTTGCTGTCGGAGGATTGTAAAGAAAGTCTTCTTAGAAAGGTTGCTTGAAGAACCATCTCATGGAGGACCGAAAAATATTCAAGTCTGCGTCTACGCGGAAGTGGCCCGATTTCCCGTTTGTCGGGGTTCCATGAATCAACTGGCTCGCATTGCATTGCACACTCTCTCAAGGCCCTCCGGTGGAATGGGATCTCGAGGACTTAGTCGCGAAAGCTTCGCATCGTTTGGCACTTGTATCGCAGCATATCGCAGCAACAGCGGGAGAAGGCAAATAGAAAGCTGATGTTTGCATAAGGAATGATGGCGGAGTTCAGTCAGTTCTTTCGCAGGCAGACTGTTCCAATCAGGTTTTTGCCGAGAAGAGTACTGAAGTAACTTGCATTCCGAACTCCGGCTAGGCAACAGGAAGCCCGCTACATCATGAGTCAGAAGCTGCGGACAAGACTCAGATTGAAGAGAACTTGGACATGGACCTGGAACATCCAGACGAGCCCGCGGAGCCTGCGCAGCCTCTGGAGCCTGCGGAGCCTGGAGATTCGGAATCTGCAGAACAAGGATTGGAAGCGGGCGCCAATGGCGAAGCCATGGCAGAAACCGAAGGGGCATCTCAAAGTCCAGATGACCGCGTCGAGGGCAGCATCGCTTCGGCAGAAGTTTCCTGGCGATGCAAGTGCTGCAGAGGGCTTTACTGCTTTACCATTGTTTTGCATGCCAGGGGTAGAGAGAAAGTAGACAGAAAGACTCTTGAAACCAATTCCCTGAGGTTCGGCGGATGTCCTTTGCATCAGGTGCCTAGAGAAGCATGCCAAGCCATAATGGCAAGTAATGCACCTAAAAAAATAAAGCATAAACAGAAAGAGATGTGTCGGAACACTGTGAGGGGGACGGCGGCGTTCCTCGCTCACCGGACCGCTGCCTGTGGATGAAGCAACGGCAAGCAACATCGTCACAGAGGCGCCCGTTTTTCATCCGCCTCGATCCGTTCCGAATTCGGGAGAGAAACGCCCGATCGCACACATCATTGCACGTCCCACGCCCTGCAGGAGCGCTTGGCAGATCGCCTGGAAGAACGCATCCAGCAGGTCTTGTCACAGGAGCGGGAAGCCCGCAAACGATACACTCTTGCCGACTTTCTGCAGTTGCGGTCGTGTGTCGCAGATCATTGCAGGATGTCGAGGCTCGACTGGAGGAGCTCTTGTAGTAGACTCAGGCTAGCACATGTGATGAGACCTTCAAATATATTTGTCGCAGGATGTCGCCCAGTTTGTGCAAGAAGAGATCTACAGGTTTGTTCTTGGACCCCAGATGATGGAAAGAGTGAGGTGCTTGAGCCAGTTCTAAACCTGCGCTTCGCCTTTCATGGGATGCTCTGGAAGGCACGAATGCTCTTCCGTTATCTCGATGGAACTTGCCATCGCTCTAGCTGCACAAGACAAGAAAGTGGAGGACCAGCGCTTGGTTGTCATACGCTCGCCACAATCTGCTGCTAATAAGTGGTGCCCATCTCAGGAGCTGATCAGGTCCAGCCTCATGGGCCCACTGAGTCATCTGGAGTCCTTGCCTGGCCAGCAACAGCCTCAATAACTGCGCACCTGTCGCTTTTGTCATTCTGTGCAAAAAGACATTCTGGTGAGGGACGTCACTGACGACCTGGGAAGGCGAAGTGCCATGTCGTCGCATGTCACAGCTTCACGTGTTCTCCCGTTTGTTTCCTCGTTTTGAACGCAATGCTTTCGCCATTGACGGCTTTATGTTCTTTCTTTGCTCGTGGCAAGGCGGCTCAAGCTCACGGAGGACCTCGTGGGTGAGCTCAAGGCGCAGGGCCTTGGCAAAAATGTTGGGAGTGCCGATGCCTCTGTGACTTGATGTGTACGTAAGCGCGCAGCAGCGCGCTACCAAGAACAAAGAACGTCGAAAGTTGCTTGTGCCAGGGGCTTCGTCTGCAGGTTCCAGACATGCGCATGAAGCTGAGATGCCTGTGCTCTGTGATCCCAACATATCCCGACCTGATGATGCCTCTTTGCTTGAAGGTAATGAGCTGACCAACCTCCAATCATCTTTGATGGCGACTGCTGTGGCCTTGGCATAAGCTGTGTCACTAGTGGCTCGTGTGGATCGTGAGGCTCCTAGCATCTCTCAGTCTGCAAGGTACATACTGTCGAGGAGTTGGAGGCAGGTGCTGAAAAGCCTTGATGGAGCAGTTTTCCCTTGAGGCTTGTGTGTGACATGTCACAAATGCTGCGCATCGAATGCAGGTCAGGCAGGAAGAGCTTGCAGCTGCAGGACATCATTGGGAGGCCGATTGGTTTCATTGTTACACGGGTCGCCTCAGGAGCACATCGCTTATCTCCAGTATCTCCGCATCGCTCATCTCCATCACGAGCAGAAGCAATCGACGATGAAGGCGAAGGCGCCAATTTGGCAAGGAAGTTTGAGTTTGTGTTATGTTTGCATGGCGGTTTGTTCTGATCAGAGTAGATCGCTCAGCGAATGGAAGGAAGAAACCGAAGAAAATGGAAGGAAGAAACCGAAGAAGCTTAAACATGTGTCAGAACCGTCGGGTGGCTTGGACCTCGAATGATGTGCGGACAGTCGGTTCCTCACACGGGATCTTGACCGCCGCATGCACGGGATGCGTTTGCATGCCGGTTGCCAAAACAGATGCTTCTTGGAAGACCTGCACTGTGAGAAGTCGGGCCGAACCGACACCTTTACTACATCTCTTTTGGTAATCTTTGTATGGTACCTTCCCAGAAGAGTAGCTTGAGGACAGGAGCTTCAAGACCAACTTGCGAAGCATGGGCATCAAAACAGCCGGAGAATGGCTGCCCTCAGTGGACCTTGCGCAGTTACCTTGCAGTTGTCTTCCTTCCTTTTGAGTGCTGCCCTGGTGGACCAGGGCTACTGTTTCAGGAAAAAATTTGTTGGGTGGGTGGGGGGGAGAGGAAAGAGTACTTGCGCCCGTTCAAAATGCGAAACTGGAATTTGCAGTGGGTTTGGCCCTTTTGCACTTTGTGTGGCCCGACGATGCCTGAAGTTTCTGGAGCAAGACTTGATGTTCCCACTGTCGCACGCATCCATTCCAAACACAACCATGCAGGATCATACAAGCTGTTTAACGGCTTTGACTGTGAATTTGGAACCCAAACTCGAAGCGCTTTGATCGCCTTAATCCAACAACCATTGATGGGTTTGTGAGGCGCTTGGACATTCTGCTGGTACATACGAACTTCCAAAGCATTGCCACATGCTGCACTGTTTGCGACGCTGTGCGAAGGCCTTGGTGTCGATGACCTGGGAGAGGACTGGGATTCTCTGGATATTGATGTGTTCTCTACTGCTTCTCTGCGTTGGACCAGGCTGTGGGCGAGACAGGTGCTGACGGGGGTTCCCCTACAAATGTCATGGTCTCAGATCCGTGCCTGCGATAGTTAAATGATGCCGAAATGACGATCCGCACCCTGTCGAGGCCCCATCTCCTGCGCCACAGTCGCGTCAGCCGTCGCGACCGCCATCCCGACAGCCGTCCCGACAGCCGTCAGCCCCTTTTCGGCAAGTTCTGCAGCATTGCAACTGCGGAGGCAAGCAGCTTGCACTGCCAGGTCGTAGCATCACCTGATGACATGAAGCCGCCAAGCTGCACAAGAGAAATGTGTGCTGCTGTCGGGGCTTCCATGATGGGCTCCACGCTGACGTGCCAGCAAAGTAAAGTTAGCCGCGCCGCTGAGGCCGAAGCGAAGGCACAGATCCTGTTCATTGTTGTTGTTGTTGTTGTTGTTGTTGTTGTTGTTGTTGTTGTTGTTGTTGTTGTTGTTGTTGTTGTTGTTGTTGTTGTTGTTGTTGTTGTTGTTGTTGTTGTTGTTGTTGTTGTTGTTGTTGTTGTTGTTGTTGTTGTTGTTGTTGTTTGTTGTTGGTGTTGTGCTGTTGTTGTTGTTGTTGTTGTTGTTGTTGCTTGTTGTTGTTGTTGTTGTTGTTGTTGTTGTTGTTGTTGTTGTTGTTGTTGTTGTTGTTGTTGTTGTTGTTGTTGTGGTGGTTGTTGTTCTTGTTGGTTGTTGTTGTTGTTGTTGGTGTTGTTGTTGTTGTTGTTGTTGTAAGATTCTGGCCCAAGATGAGGATTTTATTTCTCGTAGCCGTAGCGAGCTTTCTTGGGTGCCTGGGTCCCAAGTCCCAGGGTCCAGCCATGGATCAGAATCGAGGGTTTCGGGAAGTAGCGCCCCCCGATGAAGCTGAGCAGCATGCGCAGCGAAGTCAGCTAACCATGAACAAAACCGGCAAGCGAAGCTACCAAAGAGCTTGTAAAGTTGCCCTGGCGAAGGGAGCAGCACTTTACAAAGGCCGTCTTCTGACAGCTCAGGCTCTAGGAGCTCATGAAGGACAATTCGCGTCTCCTGCGAAAGCGGAGAGGCGTTCTTTTCAACCGAACAGACAGATCCATCACAAATTTGACATGGAAGTCCTTACTTGGAACGCAGGCTCAATTACAAGTCGAGTTTGGAACGAGATTCTGGCCCTTTTGGCAACAACAGAGTACAAGAACATCAAAATCGTTTTCCTGCAGGAATCGCATTGGCAGCAGGACCAGGTCTACAGCTCAGGCCCGTGGTCAGTCCTAACCTGTGGCTCAACAAGCAGACACAAGGCTGGCCTGGTTGTCTTGGTGCATAGCTCACTGGCTCCTCTTTCAGAAATTCGCAGCACTTCCATTGTTCCAGGGCATTTGCAGCACGTCATGATCCCGTGGCAGAGATCCAGAATACATCTCCTGAACCTGTACCAGCACGTCTGGGATTCAAAGCTCTCGAAGACGGAAAACAGAGGCAGGAGAAAGGACGTGATGACACAGCTCGAAAATCGAATACAGAGAGTCCCACAACGTGACTTCTTGATTGTGGCTGGGGATTTCAATGCGCATGCGGTGACTGAACGTCCTCATATCGGACCAAGTGTGCCTCATCGAGTACGGTTTGCAAATGCGGATGTGAAGACACTGCCCTCGCTCTGCAAATCCTGTGGACTAACTGCGCTGAACACATGGGCTTCTGGCCATCGCAGTACGTATGCTAACAGTGATGGCACATATTCCTCTCAGATCGATTTTTTGCTGGTCAGACTGCACGATGCTCGGAGGAGATCCAAGGAGGCCTACTCGGATAAGAACTTTCCTGTGGCTGCCTACAGAGATGGATCAAAACACTTTCCAGTGCGAGCCACTCTGTTCATTCCTCCTTACAGTCCTACACCCAGCAAGCCACGGCCGTTTGATGCCACAGCCCTGGATGCGAGCTTTCGGCGGAAAGATGACAACTGGCAGGCATACTCACATCGTCTGACGGAAGCAGTGGTGAGGACAATGCAAGTGAGACCGTCTTGGCAAGAACTGGATGAAGTGATGGTTAGTGTATCAGCTGAGCACTATCCTCCTCCACGCAAGTCTCAGCCAGTAGCAGGTCCAATTCATCAGGAATATTGGAAGAAAGTGCGGCAAATCCAGGCGCACAAGAGGGCTGGAACCGAGCATAATTCAGAATGCCAGAAGCTTGTGGAGGACATCAAGGAGGAGGCGCGGACTTTCAAAAAACAGCAAAAACAAAGAAAGCTAGAGAAGCAAGAGCAGTTGCTTCTACAAGCCCAGGAAGATAAAAGGCAACAATCCCACAAACTGGCTCATACTCTCAGGAAACTTGCTCCGTGGCGCCCAGTGCAGAGAGTCAACCTAAGGGATCAAGCAGGTGAGCCGCTTGATACGGAGGCCTCACTAAAAACTATGCGCGAATACTCGAGTCAAATCTTCTCCAAAAGTTCTCCTTTGCACTCAGTAGCTGCTGTGCCCAGAGCAGCGATCACCGCCTTGCAGGTATCCTCACAAATCAAGACAGTGCCAGTGGGGAAAGCAGTCCCCAGCACCTCAGCCCCAGTATCAGCTTGGAAGAGTCTAGGTCCTGAAGCCCACGAACACATAGCAGGTCTAATCAACTCTGAGGTGTCCCAATCAGAAATTTCCCCTTATCTAAAGGACCCTCGAATTGCATGGATCCCCAAGCCGGGCAAGCCAGCCACCGCCATGAAAAACCTGAGGCCCATAGGAGTCATCAGCGTGCCAGGCAAAGTGCTAGCAGGCGCAGTGAAGACTCGCATTGCACCAGCACTGCAGGTGAGCTCACAGCTTCAGCCTCAATTTGCGTACATCCGGCAGAGGGGGGTGCGGGACGCTATCGCGAAAGCATGTCAGCACCTTGATTTCGCGCAGCAGCTCCGTCAAGAGCATCGCAGGGACCTGCACAAGTCCCAACGCGGAGCCAGGCAGGCTCAGCTGTCAGGGGCACTTACTATTTCGGTTGATCTGAGCAAAGCTTTTGATTCTGTTAATAGACATGAGCTGCTAGCTGCCTTGGATCGCCTGGGAACAGACCCTGTTACGAAAGAACTGGTAGTTCAACTACACAGTGAGACCTCCTACAACATGGGCACAAGTGGACTAGAGATTCAAGTTCCCACTTCTTCAGGAATCAAACAAGGTTGCAAGCTAGCCCCGGCATTGTGGTCTGCGCTGACACTTCTAGTCATGAGCAGAATGGAGCAGAAATGGGGCCCAGATAGCAAGCAAGCTAGGGACATCCTAACGGTCTTTGCAGACGATTTCCTGCTCCAGGAAACCTTCTCGAGCTTTCCTGAACTTCAGAAAGTCCTGCTCAGAATAGAGGCTCTCTTTCAGTCTCTTGAGGACGTGGGGCTGGAAGTCAATCCAACGAAGTCCAAAGCCTTGCTAATGGTTCAGGGCACTCAGCAGTCCATCTTTCGCAAGAAGCACACGATGCGCAAAGAGAAGCAGTTGCACATCGTCCTTCCCTCAGGACATAAGATTCCGATTCATCACAAACTAACATATCTAGGGGTGCAGCTCAGCTATGGATCCTACAAAGACCAGACTGTTGACTATAGGATCGCCCAAGCTCAAGGCAAGTTTGAGCTACTTCGACACATCCTGTGCTCCACTAAGGCCTTGGAGGCTTCAAAGAAGTTGGAGATCTGGAGGGTCTATGTGGAATCCTCACTCTTGCATGGGCTTGTGGCCACTGGCATCACCTCATCAGGTCTTCAGAAGCTTCAGAGTAAATACTCGAGGATGCTAAGATCCATCTTTAAGCAACATCAGCACTACAGCCATATTGACACGAAGACTCTGTTCGAGCAATATAAGGTTCAGACTCCTCAAGCAGTTTTGATCAGCCAGATGAAAAACTATCAAGACGCACTAGATGCCTGTCAGAAGAACAACCCGGATCAGAACATACAGTGGTATCTGGGACTTAGAGGTAGGATTGTTGCGCTGCAACAGGAGCTTCAGAGCATGCATTTGGACCTGACCGAGGCAGACCAGGAGGTACCGTGCTCTCTGTGCGATCGGAAATTTTCCAGCGCTAAGGGTCTTCAGCAACATACTCTGGTGAAGCATGGAGGACAGCGTGCGAATCAGCTAGGCCCAAAATTTCAGGTCACTGTGCATAGCTGCAAAGGACTTCCGCAATGTGCGGCATGCAACAGGCAGTTGCGCACAATGCATCAACTTCGCAGACATGTGGAGTCAGGCATTTGCCCTCAGCTGCACGAGCTGAAAGAACGAGCCAAATCCTGTACAAGCTCAGAAAGCATAGCTATGATCTATCAGTCTAGCGTGCAGGAACAACTTAAGAAGGATCCTGATCTTCTACTAAAAAAGAGACATGTCACTCAGCATCTATTAACGAACTGCAGTCTCTGTGGGCAATACATTGTTGGCCACAAAGGAGTGAAACAGCACATTCAGAAAGCTCATCCCGCTTTCTGGGCACAATCCTCGGCATCCATTCTTGCCAACATGCGAACACATAAGCGCCTCCTGCACAAAAAAGAAGAATGTAGGTATTGTCGCATTGTGGTAGATGCTCCAGTACGCCATGCAGAGCAATGTGTGGTTCTGCTTCAGACATACGCCATGAGTGCAGCTTGTGCCAAGCCTCTGGAACTGCCAGATCTCTTCAGTGCAGATCCTCCAATTAGCCAGGTGAGAGGAAGGGAGGCTTCCTCCCAGGAGGCTTCCTCCAGCAGCCGAGCTTCTTTGCTGACATACACTGCACGCGTCTCGGGTCGTTCAACCACTGCACCTCCCACAGCTTCCATGCAAGACGCTGCCTGGCGTCTAGCTTATCATAATCCGCATCAACTGTGCTATGCACACACGGTCGTTCATATCCTTATCTCTCTCTTGTCAGACGGACTGTTCCCAGATCCTTCTTTAAATTCCATCCTAACGGAAATAGGTTCCCTGAATGGCAGATCCTCTCATGCGGATGTTCGGAGGTTGCGACATCTTCGTC